CACACACACGAACAAGTTAATCCCAGATCCATTAAAATAAATATTGGAATGCAAAACACGAATTTCTGACATTTTCCGGAACAGAATCTGGCAAAATCCGGGTCAAATTAAGCACTGGGTTTAGAGGAGGAAGAGAGTGGCTTAGTCAATTAGTCAACAGTGGTCACTGCAGGATTTTAGCGAGAAGAGCAAGCGCGAATGGCGGTCGGAAGAGAAATTTAAGGTCTCAAATAGAGTACAGAGCAGCCTTTGGTGGGTTCACGAAAACAAAAACTACAAAAAAACATAGGTCCTGGGATGTATTTGGCACTCTCCAGAAATGTATATGGAGGTACGTTATCAGAATGTGCCTGGGTTGATTTTTTTCATTGCAGAGCTTTTTGAGTTGACTAAACTTGGGTTAAAACTTGAGTCAACTCAAAAACAGCTGGTTGCCTTCCAAATTTTAAGTTGAGTCAACTTTTCTGTTTTTTTTTTTTACAGTGTAGAAGTCTAGATGTTTCCTTGAGGCAGTGGTTATATAAACGTTAAATTTGGCAACAAGAAGAGTCAGTCTTTGAGCACAAGCTAATCCACCGTAAATCGCGATAAGGACACAATGCTGTTCAAGTTCAAATGGGCTGCGTGAAACTCTCAGCACCGTCTTTGCACCAAATACAGACATTTGATAAAATATACATTCTCTGAAGTGTACAAAATCCATTACATTTGTGAAAATCCTCTGAATCACAATGGCGAGCTGCTTGAAAAGGGAGCAAAAATGGAACATTTCCACATTTCCTCAGCAGTCTAACAAATGCGATGTAATAATTTAACAAAATAATACACATTCACACTGATATTACCCTCCTGAACAGCTTCAGCTAAAAAAAAATCTAACTCTAATGCTACTTGAGAGTAGGTTTAAATAAAAAAAAACAGAAATGAAATGTCTGCTGTTTCTCTGGAGATGATACACGGATACCTTGTTGCTGAGATACCAGAACTGCGGTTGAAAAAATGATAATGCATAATTGAGTTTCTGGTTCTTTAGTTTGAAAGTGCTCGTTGTGATTCGTGAATGTTGGACAGGATCAGTGGGGTTTTAATAGCTTTAGCATAACACAGTGGAGTGGGAAACGGTTTTAGCAGCTTAGTTTGGTACAGGTACTTCCATGGTGTTTAACAGATAGCCATATCATACCATACTTGTCAAACAAAAACAAAATCATCCTCACTTCTGCAACCACATACAGCAGCTATTCTGGTGTTTCTGAGCTGATTATGCTTCAATGCCCTTTTATAGTGGTCCTAAGAGACGGAAAGTGCATATATTAATATAAATACACACATACACAGACAGAGAACTGAATTTTGGCCAGAAACAATAAGGGAAGATAAATAAAGAGATCGGAGAAAGCTAAAGGGATACTGGGATCTGATTTCAGGGGTGAATAAGGGAAAAGAAGGAGACACTTTAGTAGGGGCGGATTCTCACTACTTGTTGCTTATCAGCATGCATATTACTACTGTTTATTAGTACTTATAAAGTACATATTCTGCATGATCTTAATACACATCCCTAACCCTACCCAAGTGCTACCTTATTAACTATTAATAAGCAGAAAATTAGGAGTTTATTGAAGCAAAACTCGATTGTTTGTTTGTAGCGAGAATTGAATTATAATAAAGCATAACCCCCCAAAAAAGCTACTGCTTGGGTCTCAGAACTTAAACAGCCCCATTTCTGCGTGGGGCTCAGTAGTTTGGGTTTTTTAGATTGAAACCTTTCTAGCGATTATTGCATAGTTTGGTGAATTACTTACAGATTTTTAGATCATTTGGTTTAAGAAAAAACAGTCTTTCTGCCCCTCATCTCGTTACTCTTTGGGACCAATTCAATCAAACTGCTGGATTATCACCACAGGCCCGTTGTAATTCAATTCGTTTAAAAGGGTGGTCCACTATGATATCATATTTTAAACTTTAGTTGATGTGTAATGTAGCTGTGTGAACACAAACAACATCTCTGAATGTAAGACGCTCAAAGTTCAATGCAAAGAGAGACATTGGCTTTTACAGAGTTAGCTTAGCAAAGCCAACAGCGAATGAAGTTTGGGGACTACAAAAAAATATCAGAGTTAGTGAAATCACACATGTTTCAGGTTACACGTATTTACCACGTGCATAAACCCCGCGTAGCGAAGGGGCAGGGCCAGAGGTGCTGTAATGTTATCGCAGACAATTATTTGAGTATTTGAGCGTCCAAAGGACACGACTCAAATAGAGAAATGCTTACAGTTTAACTTCAATTATGTCTAGAGAATTATAAAAAAATATATAGCTAGCATTTGACAAAGGACAGCTTCCAGAATCTCTCCGAGTTCAGTGCTGGATTTGGCTAAAAACTCCTCAAAGAAGGAACAACTCCAACCATAATAGACGATTGTGGGCCACAACCTGTATTTTTATCTGTTAAAATTGAATTGTTTCTAGCGTTAACCGTATGTTGTAGCAAGGACAAAAACAAGGATGTAAACAACGGGAAATGCTGCTTGGCAGCGTTAACAATTTAGCTACTAATTCATATTTATCCGTTAAACTCCTGTAAACACCCACAATCTTCAGCAGCGCTGCAGTGTCTTTTTATGCATCCGCTTTCCCTGCGGTCTAAATCTGAAATAACATACTCGCAAAAGATATGTGAAAGTTTCATATTACTTACACATGCTTACAACTCGAATATATGTGAAAGACACTAGTCAGATTTTATTTTAGAGAGGTTCAGCTGTGTCCTCTTAATTTTCTGTCCGATTCAGGCTCAAACTGATGCGGCTAACAACTACTCTGACTGACAGTATTTACATAGCCGGGGCACAGCGCATGCTAGTAGAGGCGTGACGCTTTTCCTGGTGACGTGAAGCCGATCTGCAAATCACAGAGTATTATGTTAGCTGACCAATCAGAGCGTCTTGAGGAGGCCTTTTTGGAGGAACTAGAAAATATGACAGTCGTTTTCATGTTAGCCAAGCAGCTGTATACAATCAAAGGAAGATATACGAAAAAAAACAACGCAATCTCACGGAAATTCGTAGCTTTTTTATTTAGGGGCTAATTCGTATGAATTCGTCCGATCTAATTCATACAATTAAGTACGATTTGCCCATCACCCAATGCCACGCCTCCTTTTTAAAATCAGATATATTCGTACGACTCAACTCAAATGAATTCGTACGAATAAGCCATTAAACTGACAAAACGTAAAATACTCGCGTTTCCTCGTGAGATCAGGCTCGAAAAAAACATGATTTTCTGGACCACCCCTTTAACACTGCATCTGTCTTTTAAATGGGATGCAGATTGGTCGTTTTTATGGTTAAATCTCTTTATTTGTGGATGTGACTAATCAAAATGTGGTTTTGCGGTAGTTTGATTGGATTTGGCCCTCGCTTCTCTGTCCTCCCCAAGCCGAACCCTGCCATTGCTAATCTGAACTTATTAGCACTTATTAAGAGATCCTCCACCATTTTTCCTGGGTTAAAATAGGCCTTTCGGAAATGTTGTATATTGCATAGTGTCGAGAATGGCTCCGGAAAACACTTTGCAGTGACTGCCCCAAATTAACCGCTTGGCGTTAACCGCGCGCTTCGCCTTCAAGCGCTATGACGATGACTCTTTTAAAGCTAGCGATAAACTCTATATAGCTGATTAACCCTGAATGTGTGCACAGCATGTGGCAATGCTCGATAAAGTTTGCATTATAGTGGTCCCATATAACATTCGCCTGACTCAAATGACCAGCGTGTTCCCCCATGACCAGCACAGAGTCATTACATGGGTCTCGTACAGTCAACTAAGAGTGACTACTGAATAAAGCGATACGATTAAATAAACTTCAAATAAAAACGGAGGCTTAAGTAATTCAAAAAAGCAACCGATGCTTGCTGAATGAACTAATATTGCCCACAGAAATGTAATAAAATAAACATTTAAATAATATAGTAAGAAAATAAATATTTATAAGTCATTTTAAATAGACATATTGTGTTTTCTCTTCTCAGCAACGCTAGGAACAGCGTGCCTGAACTCACTTCTGCATGTCATATTCACCAGGGAGTCATTTGTTCATCCAATAAGTTGGCCAAAAGAAGATGTGTTTATATGTAGCGCTAATAATGCGCTCAGGGCTTCGAATTGAATTTCCTCTTGGAGTTTATTTGTACTGCGCTACTTGAAGAGATAATAAGTGGAGGGAGAGAGAGATGATCCAAGAGGCTAAAGAAAATGTTTTCTAACAGTCGGGGGGGAAATAAAAAATAAATAAAAAATGAAGGGATCTGAAGACATCCGTCCCTTCCTGTGCTCATAAACAACGGTTGGTCGTCCAGTGTGTGGATGGCTGACATCTACTGTTGCTGTACTCGACGGTTTTTTTGGTATCTGATGAATTCCTGCACATAGATTTTTAAAGAGAGCTCTCGCCAAACGGGAGAGTTTCACAAAAAGGCTAGTGGCAATTTGAGATAAACAGCTAAAGTAGTAGTAAAATATCTGTTAATAAATAAATAGTACACTCTTATCTGTTTTTTTTTTTCTCTATAACACATGCCGACTATTTCACATCAACGCTAGGTTCAGTTTATATACACATACATTTTCTTTGCTGTAATCTCTGTAAGATATATTTCATATACAAATGGCTATTTGTTTTTGTTTTTTTTTGTTTTAAATATATTTATCTTTCATATCTAGAGACATTTTCAAGGAAATAAGCCTATCTAAGAGCTCTCTACATTATGGCCTCTGATTGGATTCCTCCATGACCTTCAGTCTGGAAATCAGGCCGATTTCTTCCCCTGATAATGCATTCAATTCGTTGTATATGACATGATAACAAGAATTTGACATTCGAGATGTTTTCGCACTGGTGCATGCCTTTTTTTTTTCCAGTTGAGAAGGAATGTGTCCCTGTATAGCTTGAGAAAATAAACCACTGTTTTCTTTTGCTTTTTTTTTTTTTCTTTCAATTTGCGCTTATGTATGTGTGCTTGATGGCAAAGTTCGAACTGCTCTGAAATTAAGAGCTGTCACCGATGCTTCGTTTCTTGCCAAAGAGATTGGAGGCATCTCTGTTGCGTAGATTTGGCTGGTTCTTGTATCCGTTGGGACTGACGGACCACCGCCACCCACCACGAGTCTCCATTCCGGTAGGTACCGCAGCAGACGGACACGGCTTGTTCTGCAGTAGCTGGAAGAGAATGGTGATCTCGGGCCCTAATCGGGTCAGCAGATTTGCCCTCACCAGGTCCACCGTCTCATCGTCACACTCCATCAAACTCTGCAGTAGTTTCCCATAAAACCTGCGGCGAGACAGAGAAGACTCACACTGAGCTGGTGTGTCCACAAATTAGTGCATTGAGGCTGCAGAGAATGCTGCAAATGCTTAGTGAATTCAATGCAAAAACTCTGATTAAATTGATATAGATACCCCTGACAAATCTCTCATTTAGATTCATATTTTCTATTAGAAGATTTACAATATTATATTCGTGCATATATATATTAGATTAGTCACTATAGAAGCCAAATCAGGAGCTTTTCTATTAAAATAACTTACGATGATGGTTCAAAATTTAGGGAAAAAAAAAAAAAAAAAAAGGAGCCAAAATTCCAGAGAAACAAACAATTTATAAAATTTTGTTGCTCTTTTTTACTTACCAATATTTCACATGAATTTACATGTATTACCTTTCCATTTCTAAAGAGGTTCGGTGACTGCAATATTATTTTAATAAATATGTCTATTTAATAAATCTGTTTTGTTCAAATGCGGCAAAATATACTAGCTGCGTCCCAAATGGCACACTATACACTATGCACTCATGCACTATGTACTTATGCACTTACACACTCAACAGGGTAGTATATGTATGTAGTGTCGTTCTAAATGGCACACTAATGTTTTTTTACTAAGCGGAAATTCAAACAACAACACAAAATATGTTGAATATGTATGTAAACAACACGAAGCACATGTTGAATAACTTTATTTATTTTGGATTGTGAAAGCAAAATTCTCCTACGAGAGTGATTACAGCGCCTCCTGATGGTGAATGCGGCAATACTCACGGCAGGTATTTGATAAGTCGGTCGTTTATTTCAATGATTTGGCAACCGTCAAACGTCATCAGGGAAACGGTTTGAATTTCCGCTTAGTAAAAAAACATTAGTGTGCCTTTTGGGACACCACTACATACATATACTATCCTGTTGAGTGTGTAAGTGCATAAGTACATAGTGCATGAGTGCATAGTTTATAGTGTGCCATTTGGGACGCAGCTATAGTCCTCATGTTGCTTTTGTTCCTGATAGTGATGGAAGCTTTTTAGTTAGAATTAATCAATTCATTTTGATCAATTCATTTCCATTCATCGAATGATTGTTCCAGCCCTAATCAAAACATAACCCTCATACGATTGAGCACATGGCAGGACACAAATGAGGAACAGCAACTTGACTAGACTACAAAATAAAAGACATGACGTCCACAAACACATGCTAGAAAATTTCTGTATGCAAGCACAGTACTCAAAAGCACATTTAGTATTTCTTTTCCATAAACAAATCCACCTACCACTAAACCTAGTGCACTGACGGTTTGCTAAAAACTGTAATATGTTTATTCAGGTTTACCTGTTGGGAAAGTGGCTTGGCAGCTTAGCCACCTCTGCAATGGCTTCTGGGTTTGATTTGGCCACTGTGCAAATGTCCAACTTGCTGTAACACTCCTCCTGAACTTCTGAAATCATCCTCTGAAAGGTGGAGCACCGTCTCACTGTCAGAAAGATCTTGGAAGTGATGCCATTGGCGATACACTTCAAGCTTTCTTTCACAAAAGCCTTGCCCTGTAAAATCAACAGAAAACTCCATATAGTTCAGACTTGCTTGAATTGCTGTTAATTCGTTTGTTCAAACCAATTCTTTTTTTAAAAGCGTCTCTCTCCCCAATATTTGGTTTACATCCATGCAAGGACTAAATCCCTTCACTTTTTTCATATTTTCCATGGTTTCTTTTCACACCCTACTCTGCTCAGATTAGTCAGATTACTCTGACTTTCACATTTAGCCTACTGCTAACAGTGAGTGTCAGAAATCAAACTGAAATTTAGCAATTTTTTGACTAATTGATATAGACTTGAACACAGGGCCGGATTGGCTAATCGGGTGGACCGGAAAATTTCCTGGTGGGCCGGTCAACACAATCTCACGGCAATTCGTAACTTTTTCATTTAGTGGCTAATTCGTATGAATTCGTACGATCTAATTCGTACAATTTAGTACGATTTGCTTATCCCCCAATGACGGTTGGGGTTAGGGGTGGGGTCAGGTGCCACGCCTCCTTTTTAAAATCGTACCATTTCGTACGACTGAACTCATACGAATTCGTACGAATTAGCCACTAAACTGGCAAAACGTAAAATACTTACGTTTTCTCGTGAGATCAGGCTGGGCCGGTCCGTATTTTGGCCGCGAGGGCCGTTGTTTCTAGCTGCTTGCACTCTCAGCAGTGGCACTTTTTGTTTTTTATTTATTTATTTATTTATTTATTTGACCATAGCCTCACTCTTTTTATTCATTATTTTGCCGCAGCTCCGCTCTTCTTATTTATTGTTTTGCAGCCCCATAAGCAAAATGCAGCCTGCAGGGTAATGATGATGTAACTATCATTCCGGCCACACAAGCTTATCAGCTATATTGTGGTCCAGTGGTCAGCAAGTTACGTTAAAACGCCGTCGATCCATGTTCGATCCTCACCAGAGTAATTTTTTTTTTTTTAAATTTTTATTGTCAAGACATATAAAACTATAAGGTTTTTGAACATTTGAAGTTCTAAAGCAGCTGTTTTCTTGAAAAAGACATGATAGTGTCATTAGAAAATGAATTGGTAATGACATTATTTTAATATAGTCAGTCGTGAACTGAGGTGGGCCGGTCTAAGGCTTGAGACTCCTGGGCTGAAAAGGAGTCCCATTCTGGCCCTGCTTTTTACTGGACTCTCTCACTTTTTGGAAAAGTGCCAGAAGGTCAATTTAGATGAATCATCTGTTGAGCTGCATCCCAATCATCACAAATACTGCAGAAGACCTTTTGGAACTCGCACGGACCCAAGATTCTTACAGAAATCAGTCAAGTTTGGTGAAGGAAAAATCATGGTTTGGCGTTACATTCAGCATTGGGGCGTGTGATAGATCTGCAGAGTGGACGGCAACATCAACAGCCTGAGGTATCAAGACATTTGTGCTGCCCATTACATTACAAACCACAGGAGAGGGCAAATTCTCCAGCGGGATAGCGATCCTCATACTTCAGCCTCCACATCAAAGTTCCTGAAAGCAAAGAAGGACAAGGTGCTCCAGGATTGGCCAGCCCAGTCACCAGAAATGTCTGTGGTAAGATGAAGAAGGAGGCATTGAAGATGAATCCAAATAATCTTGATGAACTCTGGGAGTCCTGCAGGAATTCCAGAGGACTTTATTAATTAGTGATTTGAGTCATTGCAGAGATGTATGGATGCAGTCCTCCAAGCTCATGGGAGTCATACACAATATTCATTCTGTCTCCACTGCAGCATGACTTTATATTCTATACTGGACATTATATCTGTTAAATGAAAAGACTTTTGTCTAAAGTCAGACTTTAATGTCCTAATGAAATCATTAAAAATCAAGGCATGATCATATTTTATTTTGGTCAAACAAGCGTCATCTAGAGGCCTTAGCCTTTCATATAAGCCACATCTGATATCAAATGATCAACTAGAAGTCAAGTTATTATTTGTTGTTGTTTTGTCAGGTAGTGTAGTCAAGAGCACCAGTCAATTACGACTGCAGTTAAGAATCAATCTATAAAAAAACTGAACAGAACAACCCGTTCACAGCTACAGTCCAATCTCAGTGGAATTGAGCATTCAACATTCATTTGACGGGATTCATCCAATCCTGTTGTTTCTTAGGTTCTTCCTGTCTGCTGAATAGGCGCCTTTTGAATAGGATATTGTGTGTCCATTGGTGAACTGATATATCTCTATTGTACTTGGACGTCAACTGTATACAAATGTACATACCTGAGTGTCAAATTTAGCAGCACTGTAGAGAAAGGACTTGCAGATGTCGTGCATGCCATCTGTGTCACACGTTGAGTTTTCGAGACAGGCAAAGGCACCGCAGCCCACTTGGAGCGCACTGTTCAAGCACCGCGCCACATCCGCTGTGGAAAAAGAAAATCACAGTTAGATATTACAAGAACTTTCAAGAACCTGATAGCATTCTAGAACACATTTCTCTTCATTGTGTTGTATTGTCAGTAGAGGTTGACATTTTTTCAGGAGTCCCAAAGGTCACAGGAATCCCACGGGAATCCCAAGGGATGGGAAATAAACATGGCAAGATCAGGAATTATACTTCTTTACTCTTGCATCCCAGGGCCATTTATTTCGAAGTTAATATTTAGCCGCACCATGTTGATGTTAATAACTAATTTTACCCAATACTCAACCAGCAACCGGGAGGACCAGGACATACACACTCATACACTACGGACAATATTCATTCATTCATTTTCTTGTCGGCTTAGTCCCTTTATTAATTTTGGGTCGCCACAGCGGAATGAACCGCCAACTTATCCAGCAAGTTTTTAGGCAGCGGATGCCCTTCCAGCCGCAACCCATCTCTGGGAAACATCCACACATACACACACACTCATACACTACGGACAATTTAGCCCACCCAATTCACCTGTACCGCATGTCTTTGGACTGTGGGGGAAACCGGAGCACCCGGAGGAAACCCGCGCAAAGGCAGGGAGAACATGCAAACTCCACACAGAAATGCCAACTGACCCAGCCGGGACTCAAACCAGTGACCTTCTTGCTGTGAGGCTAACGTGCTACGCACTGCGCCACTGCGTCGCCTTATGGACAATAGTTTACCCAATTCGCCTAAAGCACATGTGTTTGGACTGTAGGGGAAACCGGAGCACCCTGAGGAAACCCACACCAACACAATGAGAACATGCAAACTCCGCACAAAAATACCAACTGACCCAGCCGGGACTCAAACCAGTGACCTTCTTGCTGTGAGGCGACAGCGCTACCTATTCGTACCTACCACTTGATATAAAAATATACCTTTTCTAAACTAAACTAAATACTTAATTACTATTTTTGCTCTGTCTTTTATTCTCCTCCTTTTTGCTTTGGTTTGGTAGATTCAGTGAATGATGGACCATTTGTTGGTTATTTCATCATTGAAAATAAGGGTATAAATGTTTGTGGCCTATAGTTTGACAAACAGAAACTTTAGAGGTCTTATGCACTTTTGTTTTATTCAAATCTACAGCTACTCCAACCCTAAATTTACCTGTCCCAAACCTAAGCACCCCCTGCCCTCCCTGGTCTTCACTTCTGGGTGGGCTCCGTCTTTACTTTTGCGGTCGGGCCCATGAATTTTGCGCTACGCCACTGGCTCTGACATGATGCTCTTTGATTGTTGTTGACTTGTTGTGCTTTGCAGATCATGTGAATTTGACATTAACAAAATGATGAAATGGTCAGATGTGCACCAACATTAGGCATGTTCAAATCGAGACTGAAAACACATCTGTTTAGCTGTGCCTTTACTGTATGAGCACTGTGCTACGTCTGACAGATTGCACTATTATGTTTTTCGTTTTCTTTTTCATTCTTTTATAACCTATTTTAACACATTTTAAATTGTTTTTATCTGTTTTTAATCATTTTTATTGTCTGAATTTTATGTCCTAAACTTGTCTTTTTTATTCCTGTTTATGTAAAGCACTTTGAATTGCCACTGTGTATGAAATGTGCTATATAAATAAACTTGCCTTGCCTAGCCTTAACAACATCCTAGGGAACCCTAGTGTTAAAATGAATTCACTAAAACATTGATGTCAATGGTCAAAAGGGCATCAATGTGTGCATGAATAAAGGTCGATTAGCAATTTTGATGTCATGCTTGATGCCAGTTTCTTGTTGTTTTGACATCAACTTGGACATGCATGATCGTTACCAACACAGGCTCATTGTGGATACGTAACCAGGTCTGCATTTTTTGGGAGAGCATTAATTTTGTAGCCATAGGTATGTCTGGATGAATTTCGTCTTTGTGCAGTTTATTTATAAACTGATTTCGAGAGGATCACGTGTGTATGATCAACACGGCTGGCACCTCATTAGCACCATAATCTGCCCTATTAGATGATTACGGAAGCCTTATAAATAACCAGAGCTTTTCACTCCAGTTATTTTCATCTTAAACCACCCCCCCCTCCTTCCACCCCTACTTCCCACCCTTTTTCCGATAGGGTCGACACAGTGGCCCAGTGGTTAGCACTGTTGCCTCACAGCAAGAACGCTGCTGGTCCAACCTCCTATTGGGCCGGTTGGCATTTCTGTGCGGGGTTTGTATGTTCTCCCCATGTTCGCGTGGGCTTCCCCCAGGTTCCCCGGTTTCCTCCGACCGTCCAAAAAACTTACACCATAGCCAATCGACTAAACCAAATTATCACCTAAGACAACTTTAGTTTACACTTCTCACACGGCGACAAGCAGGGGAGTTCTCGAGACCTACCTGAGCTTGAACTCCCCTCCCGCCCTTCTAACAGGAGGGAGCCCCGGGCTCGAAAATATTACGAGCTCAGGGCTCTCTCCCAAGACAACATGCCAATTACACATTATTGATCATCAGCTAAAAATGAATGCTACGGTGCGCTATGACGGCGCCAATGGCTTCTGTTAATTTTAGAAATACCAGCTGACCGCTCACCTCTGTACGGACGGCTTTTTCAGTGTTAGCACTGTTTTTCAGTGTTAGCAGTGTTTGCCCCATAACTTGCCACATACGTTGGCAGACTTGGGACACGGAGCTGAGTTGACCACGACGAATCTGGCGAAGAACGGTTCCAGAAACCAGATATAACAAAAAAATAAAATAAAATAAATAAACAACAGTCTTAAAATGTGGTGAAATCACACACTTGCAACACTTGAGATCGGTTGGGTTTAGGGAAGGGGGTGGGTCAGCCGGTCAGTCTGAGTCAGTCATTCGACAGCGAGCTGGCCTGGTCGGCTGAATGGTATATTACGCCCTCTGGTGGATTTACACAAGACGAGGACACGCGAGAGGAATTCGTGATCATCAAAAAGTACACACAGCGACCTCTGGTGGATTTGCGAAAACAAAAACTACGAGCAGACGTACCCAGGGTTACGTATTTCGCTGTTCCCAGAAATGTAGACTTGGGTATGTATCCGCAATGAGCCGGGATTGACCGTTACACACATGATGACAGCCTATTTCAAAAAGAAGTGTCAAGTTAAAACATACAGTAATGTTCATCATTTCCCAGAGATGGGTTGCGGCTGGAAGGGCATCCGCTGTGTAAAAAACTTGCTGGATAAGTAGGCGGTTCATTCCGCTGTGGCGACCCCGGATTAATAAAGGGACTAAGCCGACAAGAGAATGAATGAATGTTCATTGTCAGTTCCAAAGCAGTGGACCAATCAGAAGGACTTGAACATTGCAAGCTTTCTGTTTACATTAGCAAGTTGGCGGCAACATAGCATAGCACTCAGAAAAAAAAAAAACATTCCATGTTTTTAGATGGAAAGACACAATGTGTGTGAATGTCCCATTAATCTGTGTTCCAGACACAGTCAGAGGTGGGAAATCCAGCAGTGAAATGTCCTACTTTTGACCTCAATGTGTTCCAGTCATTCGCATGTCACAGTCGCAAAACATTTGAACATTCAATGCCATTCAATGACTCACCAATTCAGTATTGTACATGTTTAGCTATGTTTAGTCCTATTCCATGGACAACTTAGGTCGTACGATCTCAGAGAGGAGAGACCTGGAGAAAAGCCATTCAGGGTTGTGGAGGGAACAGTCTTTGGAGACGCTTTGGACTCCTGTTGTGGAGGTATGGCGCAGTTAATGCTGGAACACAATCTCATGGGAAATGATTTAAGCAGAAACACATTGTGCGTAGTAGCAGTGAACTTGTGAAACCATTTAGGCAAGATAATTAATTCCTCACCTTGCTTACAAGTGAACATGGGATCATTTAAAGGGGACACGTTCTCATTATCACCTTCCAGCCCACGGGAGGTTTAAATACCACTCCGTCTGGGGGAACTGTTGGGTTTTATGTGTGACTTGGTGTGAGTTTCCATTCGGTTTTGAAATTGAGCCAAATTTCAGCTTAGGATGACAAATAACAACAAGCTTGGCTAGCCACTTGACACCTTGAGATATATAAAAACTGAGCCAAGCACTGGCGTCATTACTCCACTCCAGTCTCTGCCATCAATTTTATGGGTATTCCAGCCATTTTTCTCTGTTTTTGGAAATGTGACCCAGTGAATGAAGAATGCCCACAGCAGGCCTTGTGGAGGTCTTGTGGTAGTCTGGGCGTTCTGTGCCCTGTGTTTGTCCCCGTAGTCCATGACTGACAGAATTTTTTTATATATTTAAGACTTTTTAAAACCATTAGGAATGAAATTTCAGACATAAACAGTTCTAAACGCTAAGGTTTTTTTTTATTTTTATAATGGCCCAGTTTAGTCATCGAAAGTTTTTTACTTGACCCATCAAACAAAACAAAAAAATTCTTAGCCTCATTTTAAATTTTGTCAAAAAAATAAAAAAATAAAAACAAACATTTTATTTTCAACATAGATTTTTTTGTTTAAATTACAAGCTAAATATAAATACATTTACATGGACATAGGAAAACTAAGGCCCAATCCCAATTCTATTTTTGTACCCCTACCCCTTACCCTTCCCCCTGGCCCTTACAACCGAGGGTTAAGGGGAAGGGCTTAAAAATTTTCCCCTTAAGAATTGGGACAGCACTGCAGAACCTGCACACATCATCATATGTCCTCGCGATTTCTTGCTTCAAATGAGATCAAACGATGGCGACTGCTGGAGTGATTCCAGTTGTGGTATTTTTTGGTTTTTATCTTCAGGAAATCACTGAAGGCATATATTATGTTATCATAATGATCTAATGTGGCAATAAGATCGTAATACTGTGCATTTGACACAGTAGCCATACTCAATGTAAACACACAAAAACAGCACAGAAGACACTGTAAAAACCTCATTGACAGCCACTAGACTTTTCTGACAGGGTATTCCAGTGTCATCGAGTGTCAGAAAGGTTTTTTTTAAGTATGACGGTAA